GATGGTAGATATGAGACATATCATGGGACAATTTGCTAAAATTGAGAGAATACTTAATCGCTTTACTCAATATAATATGCATATGGAAGAGACTGTTGTTGTAAGTTCCATAATTGAAAAATTGCCCCCTTCTTGGAAAGACTTCAAGAGAGACCTCAAACATAAAAAGAATGAGATTAATCTTGAAAGTCTGGCTAACTCTCTTCGTATTGAGGAAGAGTGTAGATTGCAGGAAATTAAGGACATTCAACCCAAAGAGCATGATAAGGATAAAAATCCGGTCTCTAAAATCAATATGGTTGAAGTGGGGCAATCTAGCAAGGACAAGAAAAGGTCCAACAATTCAAAGAGCCAATCCAACAAGAAGAGAAACAAAGGAAAATGCTTCCATTGCCTAAAGGAGGGACACTTCAAGAATGAATGTGACTTCTTAAGGGAGGCAATTCCAACTCTTCAAAAATTGATGGCAAAGGTCTTATTGCAATGATTTCCAAGATCAACACCATTGGTGAAGACTTTGATTGGTGGGTGGATTCTGGCGCCACTCGCCATGTGTGCGTCAACAAAGAGTCTTTCAAGAACTTCAAGGAAGTGAAAGATAAAAACTCTGTTGTACACGTGGGAAATGCCGCTTCTGTTCCTATTATGGGCATAGGCGATGTAGATCTGAAATTTACTTCTAGTCAGATTGTAACTTTGACTAATGTCTTGTTTGTACCCAAAGTCAAGAAAAATCTTGTCTCGGCCGGGCTTTTGAATAAGTTTGGTTTTAAGTCAGTCATAGAGGCTGATAAGTATGTATTGTCCAAGGTGGCTATGTTTGTAGGAAAAGGCTACTATTGTAATGGCATGTTCAAACTTAATGTCATGCCTACTAATAAGATGAATATGAATGGTTCTTTTGCTTACTTGCTTGAGTCTTCTTCTATTTTATGGCATAATAGACTTGGACATGTTAATTATAGGAAAATGCATGAAATGGGAAAGCATGACTTGTTACCCAAATTGAATGAAAATGAAAGTGAAAAGTGTAGAACTTGTATGCTAACTAAAATCACTAGAAGTCCATTTCCAAGTATTGAAAGGGAGTCGAGTAAATTGGATTTGATTCATAGTGATATATGTGATTTGCATGCAACTCCTTCATTAGGAGGAAATAAGTATCTTGCAACTTTCATTGATGATTGCACTAGATATTGTTAAGTATATCTATTACATTCAAAAGATCAAGTTATGCAAATGTTTAAAGTTTATAAGTCTGAAGTTTAACTTGCAAGCAATTGTATGATTAAATGTTTAAGAATTGACCGAGGTGGTGAATATTATCAAAAAGAATTTTTTGAGTCTACTGGTGTAAAACATGAGGTAACTACTCCATACACACCACAACAAAATGGTGTAGCTGAAAGGAAAATCGGACACTAACAGAAATGGTTAATGCCATGTTGTCTACATCCTGACTTAGCCAAGGTTTTTGGGGTGAAGCTCTTTTGACAGCTTGTTATATATTAAACAAAGTACCTAACAAAAGGAACTCTATATGAACTTTGGACTAAAAGGCAACCAAACCTCAAACATTTGAGAGTTTGGGGTTGCCAACCAATTGTCAAGTGTTGAGTGCATTTTCATTGGATATGCACACAATAGCAAGGCCTATCGATTTATCGTCATAGAGCCCAATGATTCAATTTCAATCAATACGATTATTGAATCTAGAGATGCTATCTTCATTGAAGATAGGTACACCTCAATTCCTAGAAATATTGACAATGATAGAAATCAAGTAGAGACAACATCCGATGAGGCCAATGAAAACTATGATAACATTGAGCCAAGAAGGAGCAAAAGAGTTAGAAAGGCAAAGTCGTATGGCTCAGATTTTGTCACTTATCTTGTTGAAGGAACAAGAAATGAAATAAGTGACCTAATTCCTTGCTATAATACGGAGGTGGATCCCAAAACATTTGAAGAAGCCATGAAATCTCGTGACTCTTTGTTTTGGAAAGAAGCCATAAATGATGAAATTGACACAATTATGGCAAATAGAACTTGGGAATTGGTGGATCTTCCACCAGGATCCAAACCTATTTCTTGCAAGTGGATCTTCAAGAAAAAGCTAAAGGTTGATGGAACCATAGACAAGTTCAAAGCCAGATTAATTGCCAAAGGTTTTACCCAAAAGTATGGCATTGACTATTTTGATACATATTCTCTAGTAGCAAGAATAGCTACTATTAGAATGTTACTTGCCTCGGCCTCAATCCAAAAATGGGTAATTCACCAAATGGATGTTAAAACAACATTTCTCAATGGTAATTTGGATGAAGAGGTACATGAAACAACCTGAAAGTTTTGTGGTCAAACGGCAAGAAAAAAAAGTATGTCGACTTGTAAAGTCACTATATGGCTTAAAACAAGCTCCCAAGCAATGGCACCAAAAATTTGACCAAGTAATACTTACTTGTGGATTCAAAATACATGAGTCTGATAAGTGCATATACAGTAAGTATTCAAATGGTAAAGGTGCTATAATATGTTTGTATGTGGATGATATGTTAATCTTTGGTACTGACTTACAACAAGTCGAGAAAACCAAAAGTTTGTTGTCTAGCAAATTTGAGATGAAAGACATGGGTGAAGCCGATGTCATATTGGGAATAAGAATTAAGAGGGAGCAAGATACAATCATGCTCACTCAATCTCACTATGTTGAGAAAATTCTTAAAAGGTTTAATCATTTGGATTGTAAACCGGTTTTGACTTCTATTGATTCTAACATACATTATGTTAAGAATGAAGGGAAGTCTATATCTCAAAATGAATATGCACAAGTAATTGGATGCTTGATGTATGCAATGACATGTACTCGCTTAGATATTGCTTATGCAGTGGGTGTAATGAGTCGATATACAAGTAATCCAAGTAGTGAACACTGGGAAGGTGTAAAAAGAATCCTTAGGTACCTAAAAGGCACCAAAGACTATGGGATATGCTACAAAGGCAATCCTCTTGTCTTAGAAGGATATTCAGATGCTAGTTGGATAACAAAAAAGGATGATCACTCATCTACGAGTGGTTGGATATTTTTGTTTGGTGGTGGAGCAGTTTCTTGGGGATCTAAGAAACAAACATGTATAACAGACCCCACCATGGCTTCTGAGTTTGTGGCATTAGCATTAGCTAGCAAAGAAGCTGAATGGCTAAGGAACTTACTATATGAAGTTCCTATGTGGCCAAAACCAATTTCACCAGTGTCAATTCACTGTGATAGTTTATCAACACTGGAGAAAGCATACAACCAAGTGTATAATGGAAAATCCTGGTGTCTTGGATTAAGACATAGCTTGGTAAGGGACATGATAGCTAGTGGAGTAATCACTATAGATTATGTCAGATCAAAAGAAAATTTGGCAGACCCTTTGATGAAAGGATTGACAAATGAGATGGTGTTACGAACATCATCTGGGATGGGTCTTAAATCTAGAATATGATTACTTGCATTGAAACCTCAATTCAACGCAAGAAAATGCTCTAGTCTTGAATAGCGATAGTATAATATACAAGTAATTGGGCACTATAATATTTATCCCCAGGTAGTTAGTGCTATATTTTTCCGCTGTGTATCAGGTTGAGAATTAGCTCTTAACAAACTCTTGTAAATACCAAACTGGCGGGTGTATTAAGAAGTTTGCCTAATAAATGTCGGACCGGGCATCCACAAAGCTTGGAACTTGACTTTGTTAACATTCATGAAGAGATATGGGTATAAGACATTACGTACCACACACACTGGCAAGGTGCAGACAAGTTGAGGAGAAGGAAATCTATGTGTGTTGACAATAGTGGCTTGTAACATGTACGCACGGTTCAAAGCTAGTCTACCGGGTTGTACTACAAGTTATGAAAACGACACTAAGGTAGTGGTTCAAGTCTAACGACACCATTATTTTATGCATGGATTTTGCTGAAATTATTCTGGATCCATTTTTAAAAGTATTTTCAATATATTGTAAATGGCGGATAATTGTTGGAATATTATTTTCAATATATTATGAAAAGTTATAAAATTTCATGATAGAAATGAAGAGACACATGCCAAATGTTCAAAGGTTGTGTCCAAGGATGCCAATGAAAAGACATAGAAGCTTTGTCTAATCATCCCAAAAATTGGAGAGACATCAATAAAGAGTTGTGTTTAATCCTAAGAGTCACTAAAACTCTATAAATATGGATCATTTGAGAGGTTTCTGCTGAAGAGAAAATTTTCCAAATACTTAAAATAGTTCTAATAACCATTCTTATCCTTGCTTTGGTAACCAAACACTAAGTGCATAGTGTTTTGGTTTGATCTCCATTTTACCTCGTAGGGAATTTGCCTAGACAATTGCACAATATAGTGGGTGAATTTAGCCTAAAGGAAAGCAAGATTTTTCTTGTAACTTGGAGACAATCTTTTTCATTTAGCAAGTGTTGTTTTTCTTCTAGTATTTTGTGTGTTAGTGCAGTCATTGTTGTTTATTCTTTTGTAATAGAATTCCAACATAAACTCTAAAGTCAACTCTGTAAACCAGTTGAAGTCGTCTGCCATCTCCGTCAAAGTCATCACTTTCCTTAATCGAAGTGCCAAACTCTGCCGACATTTTTGCATGTGAATGCTTTGACTTTTCTCCATTTTTTTGGCCCACCTAAAAAATTCTCAATAATGGACACAATGATGGCCAAAAATCTAATCTTTTTAAGCCATACAGTTCACATTGTGTGAAACTGAAACAGATAATGAGAAAAAGACTTAAGTGAGTATCGGCCATTGAAGCGGATAAGTATGTAGTTTTGTGTTCTGGGTTCATCCAAACCTTGTTCGTTTCCTACATATTCTCATTAATTAGTTAAACAAGAAGAAGAAGAAGAAGAAGAAGAAATGGCCTCTGACCTGATTACCTGTATTGGTTCTGCAGTAGATGATTTGCAGTTCCTTATGGACTCGGGTGTTGCTAATTTAGATGATCTGCAGTTTTCTTGATCCTGATTCAGAGGCCGGGTTCGGAGAAGATTTTACAACATGGGACGAACAAATAAGTGAATTCTATGTCGTTATCTTGGAGGATATCCAGAGGCAATCATTCCGTCTTACGGCGGATTCAGTTTCGAGTATCATGGTTTTTGTACTTCAGAATCTAGAGGCATTCCACAGCTTGGAATGGGAGGTTAATGGTGAAATTCTAGGAGAACCCATGAAAGCCTTGGAAGAGCAGATGAAGTTGTTGAGAAATCTCGCCGCCTTTGTGTCGCGTGCTGTTGATTCCGATGCTTGTAAAGATTTATGTGCTCATGTTGAAGTTCTTTCTATCAATGCTGCATTTTTCCTTTTCAGGTGTGATCCTGAAAAGTGTGATGAAAGTATTTGTGGCTGACGAGTCCAGATCCATCACCAAGACTGTACGGGCCCATCCACCGTAGGAAGAGTCCAACTGGACTCTTAGGGCGATATAAATTCCTAAAACCTAGTTGGATTCGGGAATTGTCCGGGTAATCTCATACCTTTAAATAGGGTAGCTCATACCACAATTCAGGTCCGCAATCTATAACCGAACAAACTACCTTCCTAAACCTTCTAGCAACCTTTTTTACTGACTTAAGCATCGAAGCGTCTACCCTCGGGAGACCCCGAGGCTCTGTTTTGCAGGAAACCCTAACCGGAGTTCCACCGTTAAACCGACGGTGCATATCCAAGCATCGTCAAGTGGCACGCCCAGCGGGACCCGAAAATTAGGGTTTGTGTCACAGAAACCTTCTCAGGTTTCCCTAACATCTTTTCATAACAACTAGGGTTGCCGGAACACACGATACGATGGTCAGAGTTGAAGAAGACGCCGGCAGCACGGCATCCTCCGGCCACCAGCACAGTTTAGGAGACGATACTCCCTGGCTGAATTCCAATGCCGGCAAGAAAAAAGAAAGACCGGAAAAAGCCACGGCGGATAACCTGGGAAAGAACAGACAAAGGAGCATTTGGTTCTTGGCGCTTCTCAGCCCGATCCAAAGAAACAAAACAACACCAATCTTCCACCTGAAAAAGAGGATATACCTCCTCCTCGAAATACCCCCGCTGCTACCAAGCGTTTGGAAGACCATAAACTAGCCAAAATCGAGGTTGAACTCAAGAAGCTAGGCGATAATAGCGATCAACAACAAAGGATGCGGAGATGTGTTCTCGAAGAAACTAGACGGCATTGTCTCCTTGGAGAACCCGACCCTACAGAACAAGAGTTGGAGGATTTGATCGACGAAAAAGAAGCTCACAGAACCCTAGCCCTTCTCGAGAAGAAATGGGGCAAGCGGAAAGTCCAAGATCAGGAGAATTACCAAAAAACCGAGGGGTACAAAAGCCCCCACGAAGAACGCTCGCATGCTACCAGAGATACCGTATTCTGGAACGCTTTTAGAGAAAGATACCCAGCCTTCGACACCGCTCTCAAGGAATTCGACGCAATATACCAACGGAGGGGCACCAAAGAGAATCCCGACCCCCCGAGCGTCGAGATCCTTGAAGGAGAACAGGGGAAGCCCCCAAGGAGAACCAAGGCACATGATCGCTTAAAGTTCAATTGGAATTGAAGAAGCCCTCGAAGAGGTGAGTACAGGCACGACTACGAACCACATCGAGGCCGCAACAACATCGAGGGCAACTATGACCAAGAATACCATCACCGTCCTCGATACTCACCTCCAAGACAGCAACAACATAACTGGCATAGGGAAAATCCTCCGTACTTCCCGGGAGATCAGCAAGGAACAAGAGACCAGAATATCTTGATCCGAGAGGAAATGAGAAAAATCATCGGGATAGGGCTAGACCGGAGCCCCTTCATCCCCAGCATTCGAGATGAACCTAAGCCCTGAGACTTCGACTTCCCTAAAGAATTCAAGCCATATTCAGGAGATACCGATATCTCCCAATGGTTGCAGGGATATGTCCAAGTCATAAGAATCCGAAACGCAACCATGAACTTCATGGCAAAGGCGTTACCCTCCTACTTATCCGGGTCAGCACAGCGATGGTTTGGGCAATTACCGAAAGGAAGCGTCACTAGCTTTGAAGATTTGTCCGTCAAACTAGCTACTCGATTCTTCCAGAGCAAAGGAATATCGCAGATGTCCATCGACCTTTCCACAGTCAGACAAGGATTGCATGAGAGTGTAACCGACTTTCACAGACGATTCATACAAGAGACCTTGCAAGTCCACAACATCAATGATCGAGACGTCTGCAATGGATTCATCCAAGGCCTTAACCCCTTGGGAAATCCTCAATGTTGCGAGTTAAGCTCTCGACAAAACCTCCTAGGAATGCTCAGGAGATGTGGGTTATTGTCGAGAACCATATACAGCGAGAACACACACTCAAGAGGTCCCAAGAATCCTTCACCTTGGTAGGACCAAAAGATAAGCCAAGAATCCCCCAGGAAAGCAAACCGGCACTGCCCAAGATGGATAGGCAATTAACACCCTTGACCAAACTCCGACGAGAAATCCTCCAAATCCATAGGGACGAATTGCCAGCTCCGAAACCCTTGGCCCCTAATCCAAACAGATCAACCGAACAATACTGTGAATATCACAAAGATCACGGCCACGACACGGAGGATTGTCGAGAGCTCAAGCGTGAAATCGAGAACGGGGTCAAGTCTGGGAAGTTTCAGCAATATGTGCAAAGAACAGCCTCCTGGCAGAAGAATAACAGACCCCAGTCACGAGATCACCCTAAAAGAAATTTCAGAGGCCCAACACGGCGGGATGGACGAGGAAATAATTGGCAACCGAGAGCCAATGCCCAACAACAGCACTATCCCATCACTGAAGCAACGCCACAGCCATTGCAACAACTCCCCCCGGCGGATCCAACAAAGCTAATCACTCACCAGGTGGGAGCTATTTACGGAGCTCCCCTTGAAGTCTTATCCACGACAGCCATGAAGACTTCATTGCGAACTGTCACCAAAACTCCTCGACAAGAGCCTAACAACAAGAGGTTCAAAGGAACAGAGGCCATTGTATTCACAAATAGTGATGTGGTCCCAGACATTTGTCCCCACAGTGACGCCATGGTCATAGAGGCAATAATCGCAAACGTAAAAGTCGGAAGGGTTTAGGTGGACAACGGCAGCGCGGTCGATATCGTATATAGTGATTGCTTCAAGAAAATGAATATCAAAAACCCTTGCATCCGCCCAGCTACAATGCCACTGATGGGATTCTCAGGACACACCATTATCCCCACAGGAATAATTAGCCTACCCATCTCGGTAGGGTCGCATCCTAGGACAGTCACTTTAACCATGGATTTCGCCCTAATAGATGCACCCTCGCTGTTCAATGTGATTCTAGGGCGACCTTGGATGTGCCAGGCACGTGCGATATGATCTCCCTATCACTTGGTAATGAAATTCCCAACGGAATATGGAGTAGGAGTAGTGAAAGGATGCCAACAGAGTTCTCGAGAGTGCTTGCTCACTACAGTTAGAATCGGGAAAAAAGACCACACACCTTAACCCAGGGTCAGCCGTGTCAGAATGCTACTCGATTCGACAAACGGTCAACCCACCAGAGGTAGAAGACCCCGAGACATCCGGCCTTCCCTCGTTCAGCAGCAAGACGCGAGAATTAATCCTGAGTGAGACTAATCCCATGAGAACGGTCCAAATTGGAGTTTCTCTCCAAGACCCCTTGCTAGCCGAGGTCAGCGCCTTGCTACGAGAGTTCCAGGACATATTCGCCTGGTCCCCAGCGGACATGACAGGAGTCCCTCGAGAAATCATGGAACATAGGTTAAATTTTGATCCAAATGTCAAACCAGTACAACAGAAGAAAAGAGTATTTGCTCGAGAACGTAACGATGTCATCAACGAGGAAACAGTGAAGCTACTCCGTGCCAACATACTCCGGGAAGTTCTATGGCCTACTTGGTTAGCCAATCCGGTCTTAGTACGAAAACCTGACAACTCCTGGTGTGTGTGCAAAGACTACACAGACCTCAACAAACGTTGCCCCAACGACTGCTACCCTCTACCAGTCATAGATCAAATGGTGGAGGGTATTGCCGGGTACAGAGTCCTCAGCTTCCTTGACGCCTACAAGGGATATCATCAAATCCTCATGGCACAGGAAGATGCAGAAAAGACAGCCTACATCATCGAGATGGGGGTATATTGCTACAACAAGATGCCCTTTGGACTGAAAAATGCTGGAGCTACATACCAACGTCTCGTGAACAGGACCTTTCATGACCAGATCGGCCGGAACATCAAAATTTACGTAGACGACATGGTGATAAAGACCAATACGTATAAGCAAGTGGCCGCAAACATGCGGGAGATTTTCACAATATTACGCGAGATTAACATGAAGTTGAATCCTAAAAAACGCACCTTCTGTGTAGGGTCAGGGAAATTCCTAGGGTACCAAGTCTCCAAGGATGGAATAAGTGTTGATCCGGCTAAAATCGAGGCTATCTTAGCCATGGAAGCTTCAAAAACCGTCAAGGAAGTTCAAAGACTCATAGGCTCCTTGGCGGCCCTAAACAGGTTTCTCTCTCGAGCCTTAGAAAGAAACCTTCCATTTTTCCATACCCTCCGCAAAGGCAGATAATTCGAATGGAATGAAGAATGCCAGAAAGCCTTCCAAGACCTAAAAGAGCACCTCAAGCAGTTGCCCACACTAGCCAAGCCTGAGCCAGGAGAAAAACTATACATTTATCTAGCAACCCGAGAGAAAGCTCTCTCGGCGGTTCTCGTGCAGTGCAAAGACGGCAGGGAAGTCCCCGTCTATTTTATTAGCAAAGTCCTGCAAGGGGCAGAAACCCGTGACACACCCATGGAAAGGCTTATCCTCGGCCAAGTATTAGCCGCACGACGTCTGCGCCTATATTTCCATGCATACCCCAGCATGGTTTTAACGGAACAACCAATTCAGCAAGTCCTGCTAAAGCCAGAAGCGTCCGCCAGGATGATGAAATGGGCAGTCGAATTAGGCGAGCACCATATTGAATACAAGCCTCGATCAACCATCAAAGGTCAAGCCTTTGCAGATTTCTTAGTAGAAACGCCTCGAGCTGTCGAAGCCAAAGAAACGGCGGAGCCTAAAGACGATCCCACTACTCGCACCCACATCAACCCTCGAGCCTGGTCATTATATGTCGACGGATCTCGTTGCGATGAAGGAGGAGGAGCCGGCATCATATTATCCAAACCTCCGGCTGATCCCAACATCGAGAACATGAAAGAGTACGACGCAGAATATACATATGCGCTGAGGTTTGGTTTCTCGGTCACCAACAATGTAGTAGAATACGAGGCACTGATAGTAGGGCTGAACATGGCACTAAAACTTAGGGTCCGCAAAATCCAAGTTTTCAGTGATTCTCAAGTAGTGGTGAAACAAATATTGGGAGAATACACGGCAAACGACGAGCAACTCAAGCGCTACCTTGAGAAGGTCCTCGACATCAAGGGCAAATTCGAGGAATGCACTGTGTGCCACATAGTCCACTCAAAAAACAAAAGAGCCGACGCCCTCAGCAAGCTAGCGTCCTCGAACTTTGCACACCTTAGTCACAAAGTATGGGTCGAAATTCTCCCCAATCCTAGCATCCAGAATGTCCCCGTAGCGACCATCGTCGAGGACGGCGACACTTGGATGACCCCTTTTATCCAATACCTTAAAGAGGGGACGTTGCCGAGTGGAAAAGCAGAAGCCAGAACCCTCCCGTTAAAGGCGGTCAAATACACATTGCAAGACGGCATCCTATACAAGCATGGATACCTGCTACCCATGCTAAGGTGTATACGAAGGATCATGTGGAGCTCATATGGGAGCAAGAGCACTCGCCAAGAAGGTCTTGCGGGCAGGATATTTTTGGCCGACAATTTTTAAAGACGCCTACCAATGGGTACAAAAATGTGAGAAGTGCCAGCGCTTCTCTCACATCACCCGACAACCACAGCACGAGATGGTCACCATCCAAAGCCCTTGGCCATTCTACCAATGGGGCACTGATATCATCGGCCCCTTTCATCCGGAAGGGGTAGGAGGAGTGAGATGGGTCATTGTACCAGTAGATTACTTCACCAAATGGGTAGAAGCCAAACTCTTGGCCTCGATTACAGGGAGGAAAGTCCTGGATTTTTTCTGACAGTACATAGTATGCCATTTTTGGTTCCCGAAGGTTATCATCTCCGACAATGGGACCCAGTTCGAGAGCAATCCTTTCAAGTCATGGTGTGAAGAAATGCAGATCGAACGCCTCTTCTCGAGCGTAGCTCATCCCCAAGCCAATGGGGAGGCCAAGTCCATCAACAGAACAATACTGCATGGAATCAAGACCAAGCTGTATGACGCCAAGGGGGCATGGGCCGACGAACTTTCTCACGTCCTGTGGTCATACCGGACAACTGCACACTCTTCGACCGACGAGACACCATATAGCTTAGTCTACGGTATGGGCGTCGTCCTCCTCGTCGAGATCAGCCTGTCGAGTCCTCGAACCATAAACTTTGTCAAGATTACCAACAATGATGACATCCGGCTAAACCTTGACCTGCTCGAGAAATGTCGAGACGTCGTCAGAATCCGAGAGGCCAAATATAAAGAGGTTCTTCGCAGACATTACAACAAGAAGGTGAAAGCCACGGATCTCGCTGTGGGTGATCTCGTTCTAAGGAAAAACGAGGCCAGTCGAGCGGAAACCCCTGGAAAACTTACTGCAAATTGGGAAGGGCCTTACAAGGTTATCCATGGATGATAGCGGAACCATTCTTCCTCGATGGTGGAACGTGTAGAATCTTTGCAGATTCTATGTTTAAGTGTTTGTCCACTATTTGCCCATTATGTGTTTTATTTGCTTTATTTACCCAGTCAGTTTTATACTCTCATATGTAATGCTAACCCGGGTCCTCAGGGAATTATTCAATAAAAGACATTATATATTTTTTTCACAAATAGCAATGCATTCATGACTAGTCATCGGGATGGACGCCCTCTTTAGGGCCATCTTCGTTCAAGAGCCATGTACTCAACATCCGGACATAAACTAGAGGAACTTTCCTCACCAACCGGTAAGACACAAAGAAATATAATTCTTTCACCAAGGTTCGAGGGAAGTGTGATTCTTACTAAGATGAATAATCATGCTAACAAAGCGAGTTGTCTTCTTGCGTAAATCCCAACAGTTAATTCCAAAGCATATCGTGAGAGTTTGTAGAGTTTTTGTAATAATGATATGTGCATGTCCTTTGTGTGCAAACTTGCGGCAGTAAAATGTCATGTTGCGATTTATTGAGACCGGCAAAAGTATGAATGAGTTCGAGGTTTTTGATGTGAAATCATTTGTCCGGCGACTTTTAGGTTCGTAATTTATTTAAGGAATTATAAATGCTCTTGCTTTAATGTTCTGATTATCTTGTAATTCCTTCTACCAGTTTGATTTTTTTTTTGCTCATTATCAGTATACACGATTATCTTATTATTAGGTATGGGTGACGGTCTGCTTGCATTAAAGAGTTTCAAAGAGTTGTCCCAAAAGATGAACAACTTGAGCATCTTCAAAAGCTTAATGAAGGAACAGATTTACAAAAATCAGATCAAGGGAGGTGGTTGTGAAGCGGGGCATGGTAATGAACATATTGGAAGCTCAAAGCCTACTGCCGAATGAGTTTGTGAGAGGAAGGAAAGAAGAAACAAATGAGTACCAAAAGGCCATCTAGATGATTTAATATTTTCGAGCAACTTTGAACTCTATTATTTATCAAGTATTTGACTATCTCTGTGCCTGTTTGATGGAAACGGTTGTAGACTACTGATATTATGATGGGGTGAACATGATTCATTATTGAGATCCATCAGCGTTTTGGTATCCTTTAACAATTCTGCACACATACAACAGTTTTCTGTCCACCGATTCTATTGAATTCAGAAGGTACGAAAGCATTTTCGGCTTCTTCTAGTAACTTAATTACCACAAGACTTTGATTCTCCTCTTCCAATCTGTCTATACTCGCTCGCAAAGATCTACATCGATCTTTTCCTGCGACACAGAGGTGCTGCGTGAAATAAAGGAACACTTTTATAGAATGCTAGTCTAAGTCATGTTAGAAGTACCAATACATAAGACGAGAAACCTTAGAGATTGCAGTTTAGCAGAAGGCTTTATTTTCGGAAAGCAGTATCTGATGTGTTCATCATGTTAAGTTTTAGTCTCGCCATCTTTCTAAGTCGCAAAAGATTAAGGACACCATAACCTCTTCGGCAATGCATAATCGATCGAGGTAATGTATGTAAGTCTTTCGCCTCTTCTTTCTTCTTTGGTTCTCTATAATAAGATGATAAAAAAAAGCAGGCTAATTACAGAAAACACAGAATATGTTTTCTTTGATCCGTCTCAGAGACTTGCTTCTTTCAGGACCTCAACATTCCCACCATGTGTATGACTCTCACATGCAGCAACATGTCTACCTATTATTTGAAATCCATGACTTAAAAATCTGGTTGCATTGACGCTTAAAATCGTAAACTTAATACACTACTTGAATAAAAAAAAAAGTAAATGATGGCGTGTAATACAAGTAAAATAGGTATTGGGGATAGAAGTGAAACAAACTTCTTTCAGCGAAAATATCCTTAGTCAAGAGAAGAGCTCCCAATATTAATTTCAGAGTTGATAATGGCAGGCTTCAAAGCTACTGAGTCGGTCCCACTGGTGCGCTGTTGATGAACTTTCCTCGATCATGGTGGTATCACAGGCACGTATAGATCTTCTCGATCAGGATCCTGAGCTTCAAGCCTTGCTATGACATCTGGTGGTAATTTCTTCCTCAATTTATCCTGTTTCACAGCACATCAAATCAAAACATTGAACCAATGTCCCGTTTACTGTTTTACACACAAAAATTGTGCATTTCCAAGTGCCGTGGCATCTTATATATGCTACTGATCTTTTCCCACCTGTGAGTGACAATCGAATCAAACTTATATCTTAAGTTTCAATCATAAATGCCTCTACAGAATGTTTCAAAATTTACACCTTCATTACTTGGATAAAACCTGGAATTCTAATGAAAATCAACTAGAATGCTTTCACATGGACTCACCAGCAGATTTCTATTTTCTTCTACAAGCTGTAGACCCTTTATGCATTCTTCGAGTGCCGCTATCTCAAGATCAAGATTCTCCCTCTTCAATCTCTTTATATCCGCTGCCAAACACCTACGTCTTTCCTGCAAAAAGGAGATGCTATGTGAAAAAAGAGTTAAGAAAAAATTGGCTGTCACAAGAAGAGCTGAATACTAATCAGCCTCATTCTTCCATATTCTTACTCCACTGCAATAAGTATAAATAAACAAGACTAGAACCATTAGAAAATACAGTTTATCAGAAGTCTATATCATTACTGAGAAATACTAATGTGGTAACATCATGTATCTTTAGTCTCACGATTTTTGTAAGTCACAAATGAATACAAACACTAGCCTCTTCCCGAAAGCTTAATAAGGTGCGTACGGCTTCCATGTCTTCTTCCTCCAACGGTGCTCTTTCTGAACCCTGCCAATGATACATTTCAGAAAATCCCAATATTACAGATCTAACACACAAGTTATAACAGCTTTAGTGAGAGAAAAGCAACAAAAAAAGCACAAGAGGAGGAGACAACTCAAGAGCTGAAACTAAGATGATGATGCACTACTACCGCATACAGTTTATGTTTTAGACATTCATATAGAATTAACATTAACCGCATATCTTCAATGGGGTTACAATTCTGCACCTTATAAATGATACCAAAGTAGTTCCTTAATCATTATTCGTACCCTTTTAGCAATCAAAGTCAGTCTTACCCACAGTGATTGAAGGAAAGCTTTCTCCCTTAATATACCTGATTTGTGTGTTGTTTAATTGCATCCTCTTCGTGTTCATCCAATCCGGGTTGATGTGTAGCAGAAGGTACTTCGGGGATCACCTTAGGAAATTCAGATCCGTCGTCTGACTCAAGAGCAGGTGTCGAAACTACTAACAACATTAATAACTTTAAATTTATTGTTGCCATGACAAAAATCAGGTTCAGATGAATGAATTCATAGGGAAATGGAAGTCTGCATATAAGAATTCTCTCAAACTGAACTAAGGTGAATGTAGCAAAGCATATACTCCATATAAAATTAAAATACATGAAATCAAATTCATTCTGCTACTTAATTCACCAACTAGATGTACATAATTTACAGATAGAGTAGGAGACGTTATGTTACCATCACTTCCTAAACTTTGAATTGCATTGCTCTGCCCTACATTTTCTGGGTGCAAATTCCCTGCCTCTGCTGGTTCCTGCCATTGCGACATGAAGAGCATAAGAGTAACATGTCAATCCAGCTTGAAAAAACCATCCTCAGAACTTGGCTTCCTGTATCTAGGCCTATAAAATTTCTCCAATTTGCAGAGACATCATCAACATCGCTAAAAGTACAACACAGTGCGTGATGTTATGGTACCATTATCCACCGTATGATACCGAAGCAGTTTCTTAATCCATTAGGCATTTACAATTTATCAAACAAAAGCCAGTTGAACCCAAACTGATAACTGAAAAGCTTTCACCTTTAATATTTACCTGATTTATGTATTGCTTGGATCCATCCTTGTCTTGTCCATCCAATCCTTGTTGATGTGCAGCAGCCGGCACTTCAGATATCACCTCGGGAAGTTTAGATCTGGTGTCTGACTCAAGTGCAGGTGTCGAAACTGTAAACAAGATTAATAACTTTAGTATTATTGCTGCTGTAGCAGAATTAGTTAGAGGTGAATGAATTCAGGAGAAAATGAAATATGCCAATAGGAACTCTCTTCTTACTTAATTTAGACACTCGTTTTTCCTCTAGCGAAGAAAAGATAAAGATTCTTATTCTCCCCTTAAAACAGCTGAAAGTTGTTCTTGTAGTACATGCAATCAAATTGGTTCTGGAAATACTTTATTCAACAATTACATGCATAAAAATGTAAGATAACAGAAGATATTAAAGTACCATCACTTCCAGGACTTTGAGTTGCATTAGCATTTTCTGGGTTCGCATTCCATATTCCTGCTGGTCCCTGCCATTGCAACAAGATCATAAGGCTTAAAAATGACAATCCAGCTTAAAAAGTCATCATCAAATATTGGCTGTTAAGATTTATAAAATTTCCAGAGAGATATCGACATCACCAACAAACAATGCATGAGACTTTAAGATTCCATGATCAACACTACAAATTACAATAATATTAAAGGGTTGGTTCATTTCTACTACCAGATAAATCATTCACATTTAGCTCAGAAGGGGATAAACCGGGAAAAAGAAAATAGAAGCCAAAAATACAATTAAGTTTTGAGAAACCTTAGTTGAATCAGCTGGCTTCAAGGGCTTGAGACAGCCTTTTTCTTCCTCGGCTACCTCTGCTTTTGGATGCCTAGTTGGTTCATTTCCATTCCCTGCCGCCATTGTGATAGTGATTGTTCTACGCAGAAAATCAAGAATCATCAGCTTCCTCAATTAATCAAACCAGAACAGACCAATAAAAATCCATCATCCTTTTACAGAAACAACACAGGATACAAAACTACCAGCTTCTCGGTAATTATAACAAAACGTTTGAAGTTTGCAGATAACATAGCCATTGTGATTCAACAACCGAAATTGACATCATTAATGATGATGATTTGTCGTCATCATCCGATCTGGGAAGCCCAATCATATTTGGATGACTCTCGTTTTTATCCTTCTAGCGTTCAAATTCTAAACATCATAATTCCCAACAAGAGTTCTCAAATACAATAAGAAGCATAAGGGTTTCTTAATTACATTTAATTGATGGCCTTTGAACCCTAAATCAGAACATGAATCGTAGATTAAAGTTAAGGAGTAGATATAAAGTACAAGATTTCCATGTTTATAATCATTTAACAGAGCATTTAACAGGGCAGGGTATGAAACAGGGCACCAACTGAGAGAAAATAGAACCAAAAACACCAAGAAAGCCAAGATTTTGTCCAGATATTACCTAATTCTACTCCAAACGAAAAAAACCTGAATAACCTGACATTCCTTTCTCCATTTTATCAAAACTGTCCCACTAAACTTATAATGATCAATGCCTACTTCCAATTCTAAAACAGAACCAATAGCATTTCTTCAAACAGTTGATGATCACTTTTCTTCCAGTGATAACCCAAGGTTTGATTACCAAAGCTAAAGATTGCAAGATCAAAGGAATAAATTTCTGTCCAGCCCATCATTTTTTACTTCACAAAATCATTGATTGAACGCTACAAACAATCAAGTCTTGAATCCAAAAGCACAGAAAAAGAATGAAATGTCACACCGACATTAGTCTTCAAAGAATGTCACGAAACAGGGATGAAGATAATGAAGAATTTGCTGCGAAATTGACAACTTTCTGAAGTGAAGTTTCAGTCGAAACTTTACCGTAACGATCAAGGAATTGATGTTGATTCCTGGACAAGAATGCTGCTTCCGTATTACAAGATGAATTCTTGGATTGAGAAGAGTCGAGTAATCAATTTAGAGAAGGATTTGGAACTGCAATTGGGAGAGCTTTTCAACTCAAAGAAGAAAATGCTTATGGCGCCACGGGGTTGTAAACCAACTGTAACGGAAATCAATCTCCCCTGTTTAATATAGACGGTCAGGATTTTTTTCATTTCTGTATTTTGGTTCCCGGCCTTGGCAAAAACTTGGGTCATTTCCCTAAAAAAATTCTTAAAAATAAAGGTGAACAAATTTAATTTTTTAAAAATATACGTGGACATATATATCCTCCGGATTTCTCAAATCTGAAGGTCGATTAAAATTAAACCTTCGGATTTCACAAAGCCGAATAACCAAATAATATTAAAATAATAAGTATTTACATTTTGTAGAAATACAGTCAAAAAAATCGAAAAATATACAGTGAACTTCGGAATTGTAAAATCCGAATTCAATAAAATAAAAAAATACAGAAGGAAAATTGAGGCGCGAAATTTTTGAATTTCAATTCCGGAATTATGTAATCCGGATTAATATATTCGGATTTCCGAAATTCGACTATATTTAATTTTGGTTGGTGAAAGTATGCATCTATCATAAATTGGAGGACCAAAATATGAAATTAAAAATCCGTAATTGACTAAATTCGGATTTTTGAAATCCAAGCTTAGTATGATTCGGATTTCACAAATCCGAATTTCTTACTTATTCGGATTTCAGAAATCCGAGTTTAGCGTGATATAAAAGAAAAAAAAAATCAGACAGTTCTCATTCGAGAACTGAATTAGAGTTTCTGTTTTTGCGGCTCTTGGTTGGCGAATTGGAGTTTTTGATGCAACTTTACCGCTAGATACGTGGGGATCGTTATTTGAAAGAGGTTAGATTGCAAAAAACCATTTTATTTAGTTTATTGTTGTGTTATTTTGATTGTTAGAATGATGTATGATAGATTAGGATTTTTTTTTTGTTGATTTTTTGAATGTTTTAGGTGTTGATTTTGAGGTTAGAGATGAGAAATCATAGTTATTTATGAGATATAGAAGTTGATTTCTAAATATTTTAGGAATTTATAGGTTTTTTGAATTATGAATGGAGGATGTATGGCATATTTGTTGATTTTGTTATCAATAAATGATTAGATATTGTATTTTTTAAAAAAAAAAGTTATCAATGGCATGTAATGTATCATACATGCTTAATTTGTTTCATACAAGCAAGTATGTGATAGAGAATGGTATCATCAACACTTTTTCGAATATGCCGGATAATGGCTTGTTTGTTGAGGAAAGGTTGTCAGATGTGGAATTGATTAGTAAGATTTGTATGACACTTGGTTAGGATCCAGCACATGTGAAACTCCACCTTTCTGTAATTTTCGATAGTCCCAGTGGTAGGCGTGTAGTGAAGACCAAGAATGATTCGCATATAGAGTTCATGAACCGTGTAGCTCCAATCATATTTGGATTTATACATAGATTTAGAAGATATCACTCACGAAGAAAGAGAAGCGAGTTTGGAAAACTTGTTATTTGGTGATTTTCCAAGGGGGGAACATACTAGTACTTCTCAAAACCGTGATGAAGAGGAGACACCTTTATTTGCACAAGATGACTACATGGAAGAGTCGGATCCCCACTACATAGCTCCAAGCGAAAGCGAAGAAGACCGTGACTTCTCTGCAGATAGTGATTTTGAGAAAAGTGATGATGAATTATTGGAAAATGAGGAAAGGGATCTTAATCCATTGCCCCGACGCCATGTATATAGTAAGATGGGGAAATGGGATGCCTCGTGTGTGGACAAGGATGAGTTTGCTCTTAAGAAATGGGATGAGACCCCCGAAGGAATGGACCTAAGTGTTTGTTTCAAATCCCAATCGGAAGCAAAACATGCTGTGAAATTATGAAACATATATCATAAAAGAATATATACGGTTGCCACGAGTAGTCCAACGACGTGGGATGTGTGTACAGAACATTAAATGTACCAAGTGAGGATGGTGATCCACCACGTGTGTGGAAGATGCGTGTGTCTTTGAAAGATCACGGCCTTCATGAAAGTGTGAGATGGCATGATACACATAATTGTATGACTCCAGTGAATGATAATGACCATCGAGTGCGTGGACGCGTCTTTGATTGCTAGACTCATTAGGAGAAAAGTTGAGGAAAACATAGATTGTACGGTGATCTCGGTACAGAAAGATGTGAAGACATTATTGAAAGTAGATGTGTCATACAAAAGGGCATGGCACGGGAGGAGGAAAGCCATAGAAGCAGCCTATAGTGATTAGACATCGAATTTCGATGAACTTCCTAGGTAAATATCAACTTTTAAAATTGTTATGTGTATTATTTTATTTTATTTTTGGGTTACATGTATTAAAATATTTTAACTATGACTCGTTTGTTGTGTAGGTATATCGCTGCGCTTAAGTTTACTAATCCTGAGACTGTAGTACAGTGGGAATGGAAGGAGGGAGAAGAAGGTTGTAACAGGCAAAATAGGACATTTAAATACGTCTTCTGGTCATTTGCACCAGTGGCTGCGACGTTTCTTGAATGTCTACTGGTCATTTGTATCGATGGAATACACTTGCGTGGTGGATACAAGGATAAACTGCTTGTTGCGGTGATCTATACCAAAAGCAAGCACATTTTACCGGTTGCATTTGCGATTATGGATGAGGAGACAGTAGAGAGTTGGACATTTTTTATGAGCAATTTGAGATTGTGGGTTTTGCAGGATAGAATTGTAAATGTGATCTCCGACTGGAATGTAGGGTTGTCGAGTGCAATGTCACAGATGGATGAATGGCATGATTTAGGGGATGGTGGCCACTTTTATTGACTCCGTCATGTTCACAGCAATTTTGTGTCGCGACATAATAGCAGAAAGGTGAAGCGGTTATGTTGGAAAATGGGCACGGCGCTTTCAAGAGTGAAATACAACCGTATGAAGGCAGAGCTTATTGAATTCAAACCTACTGCATGGGAGTATCATCGAGGGATTCGAGGGAGTAACTGGGCTCGATTGAAAGCTGGTCTTCGCCATTGGGGCATAGCGATAACCAACATTTCTGAGAATTACAACAATGCGTTAAAAGGGATCTGATTTTTACCAATTAGAGCCTTGATCGATGCAACCTTTCGCAAAACTATGAAATTCTATAGAGACTAACAATTATGTGCGAGAAATTGCATGACACGGATCCCTCTTGAGTTATGGAAAAAATACGAAACAATGAATGACAAAGCACCCAGTTTTGATGCCTCCCCTTTTGATGGTGATGATGTTAGGTGGCGGGTTGTTACTGCTACACGGCTAAGTGGCAAGGGTGGGTCTTTGCATACGGTAAAGTACGATGAATATAGGTGTTCGTGCAGGAAGTGGCAAGAGTATCAGATGCCTTGTACACACGCACTCGCCATTTGCCGGAAAAAATGGGATCGACCTATTAATCTATACCATAGTATGTGGCACCTTCCAGCATGGCATAGACAATTTGCTTACATGGGTTTTGTTCCGGTTCTCGATGAGCAACAATGGCCAATGGTGACACTACAGAATGTCGAGATCCTCCTTGGTATTCGGGTGGATGGTGAGCCTGTGTACAGGACGACAGTTAGCCAGAGTGCAGAGGAATGGCGGGCAAGATGTGAGACTTATTTGGGATTCCGTCCAGCTGCAGTAAATGGCCAATTTGTCAAGATCGGTATTTTCGAGAATGAGATGAAACATGCACTCCCTAAGGATTATCCAGTCGAGTGACTTGAGCAAAGGGCCCAGACAATAATCCTGCATTTTATGAATAGTTTCATGTTTCCTACCAAGACTCAATACACTATTAATCTGCAGTTATTGGCCCAGGTTGAGGATTTAGAGCAGTGTAGCCAATACAGTTGGGGATCGGCCTTGTTGGCTTATTTGTACTCTGACCTGTGCGAGGCAACCCATTACACCATGCACGACATCACTAGCTGTGTATATTTGCTACATGTACGTATTAGTTTTCATTAGGTGTTATAATTGTTTTTGTGTTTGATATTATAATTTGAAGTGTTAACATTATTATTGAAATTTACTGGGTATGGGCATATGAGTGGATAGAGAGAATCGCGCCACATAGAGTACCACTAGATTATATACTGGATGAGACCGCTCCATTAGCACAGCGGTGCGTAATTTCATTTCAAAACAACTTAATATTTATTTCTATTTGTTTCTTATTTATTTTTTTTACTAATTAAAATGTAACCCCTTCGTGTTTGTTCATTTAGGTGGGAATGTTCGTACACCTACGAGACGTCCCAAGGAGCAGCTTGGCACCTTTTAGAAATCAATTAACAAGCCTGCGTCTTGGAGATGTAAGTACTTAATTTGGTATTTATATTTATTTTGAATTTTTTTCTTTCGGTTATACCATTTAAATAAATTCATTTCATGCAGTTTCTGTGGCAACCATATACAAGCGTCCTTCCTAAACTCCCTGATTTCTGTAAATAAGACTAAATCATTTGGATGACCAAATGTTGGATGTTCTGTTGGGTTGTTAGAGAACCCCATGAGCCGCTCAAGGTTGTGAGACAATTTGGATACATACAGGGTGTTCCCCGTGACCCTATGATTAAAGATCGCATAACATTTCTTCCTGATCACGCCCACAGTATGTCTAGCTTACCAAGCAACAATTGGATGGATCACAATTCCGCAGTACGTTCTCACTAGAGAAAGAGAGAAAATTACGTTCCGAAAGATTTAGAGGTTGGATCCCTGGCCAAACATATGAGGGGTACTATGAATGGTTCATGATAAATACTGTCAAGCTTATATCCAATCTCAAAAATTATGAAGCTAAAGGATATGAGATTTCTTCGAGCCGAGTGAAATTATATGTGAGTTCATTCTATATTTTTGGTTTTTTATTTCTTATATTTTCCTTTTATTTTTTCTAATCTTTTTATGATTTTTGTATTCTACGATTTTAATTAATACTCCAATTTCTTTTCAGGGTGAAGTATTGAGCAACATTCACGTGAGTTTCGGGCAGTTAAGAGATGATCAAGATGAGAAGATTCTACTAGACAATGAACTCGAGGAGC